GTAGCAGCGTGTCGTCCTCCATGGCACGACACGACCCTGTCTGCCCGAACCGAACACGCAGCCGGTCTCCGGTCTACACAACCTATGCTCCGCACGTACCACCCTTCGTGCTTATCACGCATTTACATATTCTTCGCCTCCACGCTACCACCGCACCGCATCGTGTACGAGCATCGAAAATGTTTCATGAATAAATTTGTAATCCAATTTGGCCGTTAACTTTCTACTCGACAAACACCGAAACATGTCAACGTGTCGTATAAAAAACAAACACTGAGCACCAGCGAGAATGGATCCAATAATCTTTCGGTCGGTCTGGCTCCCTCGAAACGATTAATCATAAAAAGTGCGCGGGTCGCGCGCAGCCCTTTTTCGAGTTTCCTCGTTACGGACTAAGACGGGAATCATTAGGAATTAAATTTCCCCTTTCATTAGTCCCTCAACCCTCGTATAATTCCGGACGCGGAGCAATAACAATATAAATCCCCCGTCGCGCCGAGCGGGGGATTACGGCTTGTCTCGACCCTAATTTAGGGCTGCCCCCGCCCCGGATTAACGAAGTGGCGGAATCCGCTAGGGTTGTCACTACGCATAAACTTGTTACGTGTTTAATGTTTTATTGACGGGTGGCGAGGGAGCTCTCATTTAAACAACGCTCTCCACTGGCGACCCTCCGCACTGGGACTGTGCGAGCTATGATCACGCGACTGTCCAACCTCCGTCCGCAATTATCCACCACGTTAACTAACTCCTGGGAATGAGACCAAAAGTAACTTCAACACCATCATCGTAAAATAATTTTCAAAACTCACTTTCATAACGAGCACTAAGTAATTCGTATTTTCGCCTCGTAGGAACGCCCCGGCCGCCCGGCGGCTCAACAAAGTAACTGCCCACATAACATCTTTATTATCACGATCTCGAGTATGTTTTAACATTTTATTAATCGCCGTGGTGTAACACAGTGGACCGATGCTTAAATTGTTTTTATGGGTCATCATTTTTAAAATGGCCGCCAGTGACCTTTACGAATTAATTTTGTATGCTATTATGTCGTTGGAGTGAGTCGTTCGTTAAAGCGGAACGAATTGCTTATCGCCGGTATTATACCATAGCGGGAGTGCCGACACACATATTGCAGACGAGGAATCTGCTCGACGGACCCCTCCGAGACCTCTTTGATTTAAGCGTAGGGATCACAATTAAGAGGGCGCCTTTGTCAACACCGAGTTGCTAAGATTACATTTAAGTATTTTGTTGCGGACTTGTCAATACATTAAAGATATTTTTAAATGTAAGTTGTCTGTATGTATTTGCAATAATAATTGAGTGAGAATGATTTGTTAATAATGAAATGTCTCGTTATTATTAAAACAAATAAGTAAACTTATCCTTCGATGCCAATTTTCCGAGTGAGTTGCCTTTCAACAGAACGGCAAAACCCGATTCTGGGTAATTTATTTAAGTAATTTTCACAAAGGCGAGACCGCGTACACCGTATTAAAATTTGCCTGGAGACCGCAAAGTAGACGCTAACACAAAATTAAAGTCGTCGACACTTAAGGGCTTCGTAGTGTCGAGGGGAGAGCTTCTGTGAAATTTCTCTCGGAATGTTGAAATGGCGGATGAATTTCGCAAGTCAACTCAATTATCGTTTTAATTAAGGCGCCCGTGCCACGTGACATTTGTTTGCGTGCGTGAAAGCGATCGCGCCAGGCGCCCCTCGCTCCCGAGCCCCCGCTTCCCCCCTCATGCTTGCTCCTGTTAATTGTGCTAATTACTCCTGTAATGGAGCAAGGGGCGGGGAGAGATTGCTTATCGACGGCTTCCCCGGAATTTACTTTGTGTTACATCTGCCCGACCACGACGTTAATTTGAGTTTAAGTAACTATCGGCTCGTAGTTTGTTATGCTTCATTAATGAGAGGTTTTAGCGGTACGTTAATAAACAGATTAATGGGTTAAGGCAAACTTCATACTCTACTGAGCACAGGATACGGACAGCGATGCACCGTGATGGAAGATGCATCGGGCAAGTTTCCAAGTATACCGACGGACTGAGCAGCCACGAGACTCGGACAGATGTCGGCTTGGTAGTGGAGGCGGGGGCCGACAACGAGCACCAGGCAATTTGGTTATTTGGGGTCGGCCATAAACCGATAGCGCGCGCAGTAAACGCAATCCTCCACTCGCGACTATAAACTTTACGAGTCACGTAAAAACGCGCTCGAAACGCCGACTTGCTACCATAAATTTATGCTAATGTATTCTTTATAGGAGTTTAATGTGTATTCAGAAATTCCTCCATTATTTATGTATACGAATGAACCAGTAAAGTTAATTTTAAAATCGCCCAGCGCCCCGCGGTTAACGCATTCAAGTCGATTAATTTTTTGTGTTTTGTGTTCCGTGGTTCCTGAACTCGCTGATTTCGAATGTATACAGTAGGTACCCTTTTTTATTAACCGACGGCGTTAGATTTAATAGCGATTAAAGATAACATCACTAACTTAAACGCGTTAAACTGGTTCCTTTTTATTGTTTATATTTAGACACGATATCAACAAAGTACTACAAGTCAGTATAAAAGTAGGTAGTCGTAAAATTTCTATAAGATCACATAATAAAACCGGTCGCTTGTAGTGCCAATAAAAGGTTCGAAACGTCGCGTGTAAATCATGAAAGTTTTCAAAACTATTATGCTTGAAATATAGTCCGAACTCAATCTGAACATTTCCGAGCGGCGGGCGGTCTATTTATCTATTTCCCCCGCTTCCGCCCCCGAACGTCCGGTTAACCGCCCCCCTTCCGGTTAACCGGGCGGCGGCGCGCGCGGCTAAACGGCTCGTCGCGTGACCGCAGACAATAAGCCCGGGCGGCGTTAACAGCGCGCCTGTGTGTTGCCACTTTATATGTTACGTCAGAGCGCTGCCACGCCACCCCGCCACCCGCCACCCGTATTAGGGTTACCGCGTCAAAAATTAATCCTTGAGAAAATGTTTCCTCCCCTACCACTTCTATTCTACACGACTTGAAGTAATCTGATGTTTATGAATATTCTAATAGTTATCAAGCGGGATCTGTAGAAGCTCCGGCGATGTGATTGTAAGGAAGGATATTGAAGATTATGTGGTGGCCCTATCATTCCACATGTGTGCCCTCCACGCCTCCAGTCGAACGGTAGCCGATAAGTCGTGTTGTTGAAGCTTGTAGCTCGTACTTGTTTAGCGGACCGCCCGACCCTTCCCCGACTCAATTGCCTTTTTCTTGAGGTCGACCCGCGTAATGGGATAAAGTAAAGATTAGCTCTGTTCGCTTTTCTGTTGAAAATGGAAAAGGTTGCGACTTGCGAGTGACTACTCAATATAGTGTATTTCTTTTAGAGTAGATATAAGAAAGCAGGTATAGGCTTTACTCCTCTTGGGTACGTATTTTTTTCTAATCTGGGAAATGAGCTTCATTCAGAATTTTTAGCAGACGTAATAGAACGTGCTTGGTTGTAGCTGAATAAGAATAAAATTAAAGTATGTTAGTGGTACCTATTTGTGTGATACAAACGGTCAAAAATAATCGTAGTTTACTAAGCTATGTAATTAAATAGTTTCACACTGTTTCATCGAAACATTACCCGAACATCCCAAAATACCTGCAGTTATAAAATCGGCAGCAGATCATCAATTTAAATTAGTTTTATCTTTAGTACAGCACATATAATGACCGGCAATGTGGGGCATCATAAAATCTACCCAATCGAATCCGACACGTCACATTACGGTTAGCTCTGTGGGTATCTCTCGAAATAGCACTTGAAATTCGATATCCAACTCTGTCGAGATCGTAAAATTAGGTACTCGTCGAACACACGCTCAACTCGACCCCACCTCGAGCGCATATACGCAGAACGCAACTTAGAACAAGAGTACACAGCACATAGTGCCACCATGTTGTATTTTATATTTATTACATTCCCTACAACCCTAATAATAAAAGTTTATTGCTCACATCTCGCGTATCAAATATCCAATAACGCTGCCGCAATAAGCTACACCGCGCCGTAGTTTATTTCGCAGACAATCATAGACCCAATTTTATTATCTAATTTCTCGCTAATAAAAACCAGTATCAGTGTATACCATACCATGGATCACATAACTACTTATTAGAGATCATTAAATGTAGCTGGATGTATTGTGCTATCGGCCGTATCTGGGCGATAAATAATTGTGAATCTGGAGTTAGTGTTATTGTGCCGGTCGGTGTCGGTGCGGGGGTTGTAAGTCACAGCGGGCGGCGACAGGTCGGCGGCTGAACAAATTAACAGCCGCTTGCCAGTCTCCGCTGAATTAGTGCCTCGTAAAATTAGGCCCCGTTATACTCCTCCAGGCAAGCCTGCCCGGCGCGACCACGACTGCGGATTAGGCTCGAGCGGTCGCTTATTCATCTTCCGTTACGACGTATTTACTAGCCTCTCGTGCCGTAAATGGAAGGATTTACTTGATAATATAATAAAGCCTTCGTCGTGAATCATAAGATATCATAATTAGACATAGCGAGAAAACTTCCTGGGCTGAGCTATCTCACTGGAGCGAAGCGGAGTATTGAAACTTCAACACTAACTGAATCAGTTAGCGTGGCGATGGTCGCTCGTCACGTATATGATTATTTCATTAGTCCGTATTTGCGCGCTCATCCAAATGCCGCGCCTCCTCCCCCCCTCCTGCCCACTCGGCCCGGGGGGCGATGACCACTCCCGGAGCTAATCATGCGGTCAGCTTGTTCTGCCTCAGCGTGTTTTGATATTGATATTGACTGTAGCACTCGCCTCGCTGCGTGCCGATTTATTTGCGAACAATGATCGATTGATTGCTATACGTACCTAAGCTAGCCCGTAAACGTTTTGATTATGTTTGCTCACTCATATTTGCACAACTAACAAGATCGAATACTGGTCTGTATTAAACCGGCAGTTATGTTATTTTAGATTCCGTTTTTTTGTTGCAGAGAAATTCAATATCACCGGGTGAGAGAGAAAAGTACAGAACGAGGAGTCCAGCAGAACCGGACCATAAAAAACTAAAGAAAGAAGAAAAAGACATGGGTCACGTATGTATATTTTCGTTTTAATTTGTTGCAAATTAGTATATCCAAGAAGATAGGTTTACTAATGTGTAGGTAATTGAAGAGCCTCTGATTGATTGTCATTTTCAATTAATTCCAGGAATTAGTAGTGGATGACGCGAGTGAGGAACCGACATCACCACACAATGGTGCGCCTTCACCAAGAGAGAACGGACTCGACAAGCTGCAGCCTAAGAAAGAACACCCACCACACAGTCCAAGGTAACTAACTTCAAACATACTTGACGCCAAACAAAATACATATGAGTTAAATCTCGAATAAAAATCAAAGTTTTTTTTTAATAACGTTGAAAATCTTTATATTCTCCAGTAGGATAATCCGATTTTTTTAAATACAATCATGGTAATGACACTGTTAAATTAATTACAATGAATTTGTTACTACCTAATCAAGAGTCAGTTTTCCTTATATTTTTTCAGGTAAATAGTCTGATAAATAAATAGTTAAGTATTTAAAAACTCAAATGATATGAAAGAAAAAAAAAATGGTTGCCTGTAAAGTCGGTTTTACGGGCGAAGATTTTACGTGACAACGTCTTTTTCTCGGTAGAATATTTATTGATATGAATATAATTAAATTGCACAATAGGAACAAGGAATTGAATGAAAATAAGAATTGCACAAATTTTAACTATAGAAATATATTTTGTTTACTAAAACATTGTACATGTAAACTTAAACTTAACACGAGAGACTCATCGTAACGTTACCGAGCGTTACACTTTTTCATAAGTGACTCCCAGCCGCAACCTAATTTAAGACGTTGTCACGTCAAAAAACGTTTAGCTTAAGAGTTCCTCAAAGTCAGAGTTAATCAAATCTAACCTCAGACATTGGTGTGAGAAGTCTCGAGTAATATAATGCCTCATTATTCGCATATGTAACCTTTCACAAATTTCCACACGACGTTCACCGTATAACGTTAATAATACTTAACGTTAAATATGGAAGCCATTTCACACACAACGCGTCTAAGTTCGTTGTCCAAGCTAGAATAATCCTGACATGCGTTTATTAGAAGCCTCACACAAACATGTTCCTCGAAGGACGGCGACACAAGTTGAAAGTTAATCCTCTCGGACACTAAATCAATTACTGAATACGAACCTGCCGGGTCCGGAACTAGTCCTATTAGCGACAATAAGATTAGACGCGCCTCCATGGATAACTAACTGATGATAATCTCCACGCAAACTTCAACAAATTAAACACCTTACCCCACATTACCGCAAAGCCATTTTATTACGAATTCGCCGAGTTTTAGATTTTCTGATATTATTATCATGATAACTAACAGTTTGTTGTTTTAACGTAATTAAACTAGTCTAGATGGTTCACACTGGCACAAAAAATTATGAAAATATTTGGGGTGATTTTAGCTTTCACCAAAGTTTTTTTTATTAAGGATAACTGTGGCATCTAGTAAGAGCTACAGCTTACTCAAATAATCTGGCATGTAATGTTATCACAATTTTTGGTTAATGTTCAATTAGTAACTAGTTGCAGCAGTACTGATAAATGAAACAGTTTCCTTCTACACGAATTATTACACGTAAACTTTCATTCGTTCACAGGTCGGGTACCTCGAGTAACGCTTCAACACCTTCAGCGAAAAAACTTGACGAAAAACCTAGTACACCAATCTCGAAGCCGGTCACCCCTACGTCGGGTGCGAGCGGCTCCGGTCCAGCTGGGGCTCCTCTGAAAGCCGCAGTGAAGCCCCCCGCGTTGCAGTACCCGTATTTGGGCAACGGCGCACATGACGCTTACGGCCTTGCCGGGTACTCAGCGCGAGCAGCCCTGGCTTACGAACCACTGCGTCCGCCCATCGGCCCGGCTGCGCTAGCGCCTATACCTGGAGGAAAACCGTAAGTATTACTTTAACAATTCACAAAAAAATAATTAATAATTTGTGCAACAAAACAACCGAAATTAGTAGTGATTTCAGTGAGGAGATCAGGTTTCTAGGGGTCTTTGAACTTAAATAAAAGATGCTAATTCATAAGATCATAATGTTACCCTTTGTATGGCGTGCACGACCGTTTTGATGTTTTGAACTTTAAATTGTTAAAACTCTTTGAGAAGAACTTTTGTCTGAGTCGTAACATTGAGCAGATGAAGATGATAAGGATGAGCTTCTCCTTCCAATGTCTTTGACGGCGGGCTCGTCCATTCCCAGCTTTACCAGTGGGCGCATGGCAGTTGTCCAGCCCCTCAAATTACGACCTCCCCTAGTCGATAGTATTTTGTTTTTACGGCTCGTATATAACCGCTGCCGCTCGCCCGCAGCGCGTACTCGTTCCACGTGTTGGCCGAGGGGCAGATGCAGCCGGTGCCGTTCCCGCCGGACGCGCTCATGGGGCCGGGCATTACTAGCACTTACTAGTTCATCCTTCAAAGGTGATCGCTGCTATTCGATAGTGTTTTGTTTAGACAACTTCAATAAGCGATGATGATTGTCCGCAGCGCATACTCGGTCCACGCTTCGTTATGTATGTTAGTCTTAGTTTGGTTTACCTTTAAGTCCTCCATCCACGACGTCATGTATTCCCTCTCTCATTTTATCTGGTTAGCATACTAATGTACAGTGCGTGCGATTCTTCACACAGTTCAGTTCAGTTCAGTGACATGACATCCCGCGCGCACCTACCTACATCATTTTACATTTTTGCTTACTACAAAGTTTGTATCGCACTATACTCGCCCCTATTCGATAGTGTTTTGACCGACGCCGCTTGTCCGCAGCGCGTACTCGTTCCACGTGTCGGCCGAGGGGCAGATGCAGCCGGTGCCGTTCCCTCCGGACGCGCTGATGGGCCCGGGCATACCGCGACACGCGCGCCAGGTGTCGGCGCTGGCGCACGGCGAGGTGGTGTGCGCGGTGACCGTGTCGTCGCCCACCAAGTACGTGTACACGGGCGGCAAGGGCTGCGTCAAGGTGTGGGACATCAGCCAGCCCAGCAAGGCCCCCGTCAGCCAGCTCGACTGCCTGGTGAGTGGGTAACTGTCCGCGAACATAATACTTACATTACTACTACTTAACTTATAGATAATATATCTCTTTGTAAGACTTCCGCCGTACTCAGAGGGTTTTAATTTTTTTTAAGACACGCGTTATCTTTCCCTATTGTTATATCAAAGAAACTGACAGCAAAAACGTTAAACTTTACAGTTCATTAACATCTCCGAGTATGATCGAAAAAGATTTTATTGTTTTAATGTCTTTGGTATTAGCAAGTTATACAAAGCTTTGATTTTTTCTAAATAAAGGATTGAACTAAATGCATTTGTAAAATAATATTAAATATATCTAATGTTTATGTGCTTAATATAAACTATGATTGCGATTGCATCGTTACATTTTTGGTGATAGTGATGATGATGAAATAAATAATCTCTCACTTATCTTTGCCTTTTCCAAATATTGTACTTAAGGTGTATCAATGCTTATGTTTATATTGACGATTATTTTTCAATGTCTATTTCAGCAACGTGACAATTATATAAGATCAGTAAAACTCCTACCCGATGGTCGCACGCTAATAGTGGGAGGGGAAGCGTCGAACCTATCGATATGGGATCTCGCGTCACCAACGCCACGGATCAAAGCTGAACTCACATCGTCAGCGCCCGCCTGCTATGCGCTTGCAATTAGTCCTGACTCTAAGGTATAAAAACACTTTTTTTCTTCAAATGATATACAGTTTAGGGACCTAAAATGCCACCTTGAGGTATTCTTAAATATACTTCGCTGATTTTAATATCCTTTTGATATTATGTTGTACTTAAGTAAATTAAATGATATATTTACATTTAGCTAGTTAATTCTATTTGCAAAGGCCATCATCATAGCGTATCATCTAAGCGTATTATAACGCTATGATAATGACCTTTGCAAATATAATTAACTAGCAAAGGTGTGAAACATACTTGTGACATGTGACATGTGATGACCCATTGTATTACTGTTCTGATAAACTGAAATAGATACCTAACAACCTAGATACGTCTTTTATCAAAAATATGTAAATCATATGACATTCAAAGACGTGACAAAAATTATTATTCTTAAAAAAACTACCAAAATAACAAAGTATGATTTATCTACACCAGTATAACTTTCTCCAGTGCCTTACTAAAATCATTAAACGCAATAATTTATCATTAAACCATAAAACCTAGACTCCAAACACAACACAAACGTCCGTAGCTCACTTTATCAAAGGCTTCACTGAAATCTTTCCTTTTTACACAGGTGTGCTTCAGTTGTTGCTCAGACGGCAACATAGCCGTGTGGGACCTCCACAACCAGACGCTGGTGCGGCAGTTCCAGGGCCACACGGACGGCGCCTCCTGCATCGATATATCCGCCGACGGCACCAAGCTATGGACCGGCGGGCTTGATAACACTGTTCGGTAAGTTCGTATTGTCATACACACATTAAAAGTGTCTAGGCATAAAAAAAACAATAATAATATTGTTAATGTAATACACCATACAAGACACACAAGTAAATTAAAAACATGATAGGCAGAACGTACACAATATAGGCGGCCTTATTGCTAGGCAGCAATCTCTTCCAGGCCATCCATAATAGAAAGATAAATAAATGAAGAAAAAATAAGGGGTGTAACGGTAAATAATAAGAAGGATGAAAAGAGAAACGATAAAGTAAAAAATTGAACTTCAATATTTTGCGCCAAACATAATCCAATAAAAATAATTAATTACCAATTCCAGTCCTCCATGTTGGCATTTTATTTTAATTCCTTTGTATTCATTTGTTAACAATTTTGTTAAAATACTTACTGTTACAATAAGCTTTTTGTGAAAATTTACCCAAGCTAACGGCGGCGTCAATTTTGTTGCAAAGTTACTTGATCCCTAGACACTTGATGAGTGTACTTCATACGGAGTTGTCTTTCAGTTGTTGCTCAGATGACAATTTAACCCGGCACGACAATATACCGACTTGGACCTCCACAACTAGACGCTGGTGCGGTAGATTGAATTTGTATCCAAATTTGTTCCTTTTACATAGACATAGTTAATGTACTCTGTTGTTTAAATCATTTATATATTTTAAAATTGTTAAAGAATGTTATTATACTTCTTTGTTATAAGTTATCGAAATAATAGTTTATTATAAACTTGAATTTAATAGCTTCATACCGTCCTGGTAAACAATGTTAATTACAGGAGAAAATTTTTGCATCTATATATATAAAAATGAAACCCGTTTTCCGTTGTCACGACATAACATGAAAACGGCTTGACCGATTAGGCTGATTTTTTTTTAGAATATTCCTTGAAGTACGAGGATGGTTCTTACGAAGAGAAAAATTAAAAAAAATGCCTGAAAATGTCAAAAAACAAAACTTTTCTTTACTCCCATACAAACGATTCGTAATAATACTTAAAAGTCAATTTGAACTTTAATACCATACCATAAATTTCAAATGTTAGTGGAGAGATTCTGGGAAGGCAAAACAATTGAGCGACGTGATGTCAATAGAAGTTTGGAAAAGATAAATATACCATCTTCAGTTTTTTTATAATCTATATATATAAAACTCAAAGGTGACTGACTGACGTAGTAATCTATCAACGCCCAGCCCAAACCACTGGACGGATCGGGCTGAAATTTGACATGCAGGTAGATGTTATGACGTAGGCATCCGCTAAGAAAGGATTTTGATCAATTCTACCCCCAAGGGGATAAAATAGGGAATGAAAGTTTATATGAAACTTTGTCAATTTTAAAACCGAACGGGCTGAGACTTTGCATGCAGGTATAAGAATAATCATAGATGAATGTCATTGTGTATAAAACAAGCCTGAGAACAAAAACTGTAGTCTACGCTTCAGCTCTACACCGAAGCGAAGCGAGGGCGGGCCTCTAGTAATTCATAAAAGAAAAACAAGTTAAATAAAGACGATGTAAAAAAATATTCGCCTCATACAAAAAAGTATATTTAAATGTTTTTTTCTGTGTTAACCTATTGGTTTGTTATATTTACACTTTAGCGCCACATTAGCATTTATTTGTATTCGATTTGTATAAAAAATCACATCGAGTGTTTAGTGAAGCTTGTGTTAACATGTTTAGTTTTCTTTTACAGATCCTGGGACTTGAGAGAAGGCAGACAATTACAACAACACGATTTCAGTTCCCAAATATTCTCACTGGGCTACTGCCCCACGGGTAAGTCTATTGCACGCCTATACATTGTATGTTAATGTTTCATCTTGTATAACATCAGAGAAATGTAAATGAGTCTTCTAAACAATGCTTGTAAATAAAAAATACAGACAAGGAGCTAACTTGTAGCTACACACACAGCAAAAAGTTAAAGATTATATTTTAAAATGTGTAGCATTATAATTACTTGCGACAGGCGTAACCTATTACATTTATGAATAATTAATGAATTCCAACATATTACTTTTGCAGTGCTGATATCACATATATATTTCATACATTATGATAATTTATTTGGTACCAAAGTAAGCAAAAACTGACACTACGATCTTAAGATACTGTTTTCGAAAAAACAGCATTTCAAGATCGCTCTCGGAGTTGAGAAAGATCTATTACTACGGGCCTTAGAGCGCGTTCCCGTTTTGTCATGTAGTTTATAGCATCGTGGCTTATATACTTGAATAGAGTTGTTCACATATAGAACAGAAGGATTCATTATGACTTATTTTGCTGGGACAATAGATGCTCAAGACATTGTGGATAAAAAAAAACAACAATTGCGACGATAAGTAGTCATCCATTAATAAATTACTGTTACGATATAGCGGAAACACGCTCTTATAGTATTACTAATTGCCCTGCTCGTAACTAAGAAGTTACGAGCAGTACAATTACTATTACTGGTGCAATTATATCCCATGGAATATTGACTGTACATCATCATCAGCCTATTAATGTCCGCACTGCAGAGTTGCAGGGCTTCCCTATGGATGGAATAAGAAGACTGGGCCGTGACCAACCACGAAGGCCCGGTGCGGCTTGGTGGGTGCTATCGACTGCAGATGCAGCCGGGACCACGGCTCACCGTGTATCCAAAGCACGGAGGAGCTCGATATAATAAGTTTTCAATCTTCCATCCAATGGCCGACCATAGCGAAAGTTGCTTAACTGCCACGATCGCAGGCCGAACGCTAATTACCTGCGCCATCGAGTCCTCAATCTTGTCTATCGTTAATCTTGACTGTACATAGGTGTTAAAGTACTTGGCTACGCCTTGTTTAAGCATACTTACATAAATTATAGTAATTAATATTTTTTACGGGATTGCTACCATGTGCGAATCTCCGATATTTCTGCACTGTTGCAAGCGCCATGATCACGGAGTAACTGTAGCGAAAATAAAATAAATTTTATATAATGTTAGTGACCTTGAAAATTTCAAACAATTTTGCCATGAGTTGAGAAAATTATTTTCATATCTACATTTTTCATTTTATCATATTTAGTAAAGTGTTTAATTTATCGTAAGATAACTTTGAAAAGAAACTATTCAGGTTTGATTTAAGACATAAATGAAGCCTGGGTGTGTGGCAGCACATGTGTGGGTGTGGTGGGTCAGGGTGTACAGTAGAACTTGAATATTAAGAGGAAAATCGGCCGGTTTTTTTTATTTCCTGGCCGTGAAACACAATGTAGATGGCTACACAGACGAGGAGTTAATGTATTAATACCCGTTTGCTTAACTATAATATATTCCGTTTCGTCCTACAGGAGAATGGCTCGCAGTAGGCATGGAGAACTCCAACGTGGAAGTGTTACATGCAGTGAAACCGGACAAGTACCAGCTGCATTTGCACGAATCCTGCGTCCTATCGTTACGGTTCGCGTCGTGCGGCAAGTGGTTCGTGTCCACCGGCAAGGACAACCTGCTCAATGCCTGGCGCACGCCGTACGGGGCCAGCATATTCCAGGTATATACTACACTAGCGGCCGCCCGTAACTTCGTACGCGTTAATCTTTTTTTTTCTAAAATAAAGGTGAGTAGCCTAAGTTACTCCTTATTACATCAGCTACCTGACAATTAAAGTCCCGAAAATCGGTCCAGCCATTTCAGAGATTAGCCGGAACAAACAGAAAAAAATTGTAAAAAAAATATTATGGTGTATGTACCGTATACAGGTTGGTCCAACTAGTGACGTCAACATTTAGATTCCTCGCACCTGGGCGTATCCGAAAATACCCCATGTATGTTCCGCGATTTTTCTTAGTTTTCGAGTTATAAATTGTTTTGTGTATTTTTAATAATTTCTGCCAGCGAGGTTTCAAAAATTCTTATCTTTTTTCGTAGACGTTTGTGACATAATTGTCTTGAATGTTGTTTTAATAACAAAATAACTCAACTTCCTGCAATTACTTAAAGTTACTCAAAAAAGGCTTGAAAGTTGGATCTTTAGTTTTTAGTAGGATTTACTCAAACGTTCAACTTCAATACAAAAAGAAGTTTCCATAGCTTCTGGCTAAAATTAAAAACTCCGCATGCTTCTAAACTACCAAAATCATAAAAAAAATTGTACTTAATCAGCCTATTTTTGTTGTAATTGACTTTTGAAGGCTAAAAATCATTGAAACACGATTAAAGCATTAGACATAATTTTTTCTTTTTTTCATTGTTATGGTAAATTAAACCTAAAAATGTAGTATTTAATTGAAATTTCTGTAAAATAACTTCAGCATGTTCAATTTTATACTATTTATTACAGTAAATTTTCAAAACTCCTTCCTCCAATTTGAATACACAATTGACAATGTCTTAAAAAGTTATTTTTTAATTGTCTGAAACTACTTGAATATTCTTTCTTTATTTTTCTTTTCGCTTCTGTAAGTTCTTTTGTTGTCTGTTCTGTTCTTTGTCTCAATTGTTGTTCGCATTTTAAATCTTAGTGGTGAAACCGAAATTATTGTAAAATTACACATGCTAAAGTTATTTTACAGGAATTTCAATTAAATTTAATTTGAAATTACATTTTTAAGTTAAATTTACCATAACAATGACAAAAAGTAGATAAAATATTTTTTAATGCTTTAATCATGTTTCAATGATTTTTAGCCTATCTGCCTTCAAAAGCCAATTACAACCAAAATAGGCTGATTAAGTACATTTTTTTTATGATTTTTGGTAGTTTAAAAGCATGCGGAGTTTTTAATTTTAGCGAGAACCTATGGAAACTCCTTTTTGTACTTCTAAATTGAAGTAAATCCTACTAAAAACTAAATTTCTAACTTTCAACTTTTTTGAGTAACTTTAAGTAATTGCAGGAAGTTGAGTTATTTTTTATTAAAACAACATTCAAGACAATTATGTTACAAAAAAAAAGACTGCAAAATACCTACTACGGAAAAAGATAAGAATTTTTGAAACCTCACTGGCAGAAATCATTAAAAATACACGAAACAATTTATAACTCGAAAACTAAGAAAAATCGCGGAACATACATGGGGTATTTTCGGATACCAAAGGTGCGAGGAATCTAAAAAAAATTTGGTGACTTCACTAGTTGGACCACCCTGTATATGCATGTAGTAAAAAAAAAATATTTATATATACATGTATGAAAAATCTTTGACAGTATGAAAAATAAAGTACCAGTTGTTGGCATCTGTATTTAATATGAATATTAGCAGCGATTTTACTATTCTGAGAGAACAAATTAATAACTTAAAAAAACATTAATTAGAAATGATTGTTTTGTTCTATGGTCACCGAACACCTGGAATTATCGTGTTACGTCTCATACCAGTGAGACGCCATAATGTCTAGACTCACATTTTCGTGCCAACTTGAAAATAGAGTCTTTGATTTGGGTTTTTTACCGAAATACACAACATTAGTAAATAACGTGAGATCGTTTTCTAAAACTTGTCAAATACCCTATTTTCTAGTTTAAAGTCCAATCAATGAAGCATTATTTGCAGTTAAATATATTTCTAAAGCAATTATTTAAACGGTATGTTTTTTTTTCAGTCAAAAGAATCATCATCGGTTCTCAGTTGTGACATTTCATCGGACGACAAGTACATAGTGACGGGCTCTGGCGACAAGAAGGCCACAGTTTACGAGGTGATCTACTAGTGCGACACAAACGGAACAATCTTGTACGAACAAACTGTTTAGATCAAGTGTAGACCGAGTGAGTGAGAACTCTCTGCGAACAGAGACAGTGGCAAGTGGTGATATAGCTTTAGTGTATGTATAGATTATATTGGGAACCTGTATGTACTTATGCGACTTGTTTATATAGATTTAGTGTGCGCGTTTTATGTTTATTTGTTGAGCGCCCGTAGTGTATGTTGGCAGCAGATCTCAAACTGACGATTTCGTTTCAATATTGTTGTAAAATGCTCGTATTAAAGAAAAGATATGCGCAAATCATACCAACTTTGTTTTTGTTTCATTTGTTTTTATTCCTTCATTTGTGACGGTCGTTGGCAAAGATATTAATTTAGCTACTGCACGGATGGCTATGTATTAGGATGATATTATACTATATTAGTATATTATTATAAGTTATAGTTGCAAGTGGTAAAAGTTTTGTCTGATATGATCATGAGCAACGATATTGAAAACCAGCGGTATTAAATATTGTTGATCCCGAGGCTTAATCTAACGGGTGAAAGACAATTATATGTTAAGAGTGAGTATATAAATTAAGATCAGAATACTCGTTTTTGCATTTAATAGCGTTGACGAAAGGTTTTCACACATAATTATTGAATGGCGATGGATGAATAAAGCGTGCCCACAACGCGGCTAACTCGATGTTAGCGCCCGGCGCCTTTCCTTTCTACGCTAAATTTTGTGTGTAGTAGATAGGATTTATTTTATTTTAAAAGTGTGGCAAACAAGCGTATCGCCCGCCTAATGGTAAGACCACACCAGAAGCTCTATTTTTGAATCACTCGTCTGACATAGTATCGTCGAATGCGACATAAGTCATCTTCAACTTTCAAGTCGCATGATACTGATTTTCCATATTTTTGAATCGTTCGTCACCGATGTTACCAGTTTAATACGAAATATAAAATTTTATTCATTTCACGCAGACTAAATAAAAACCGTTAGTTACCGCAGTGAAAACGGAACGAAAAATTCTTAGTACATGGCTGTATAATACAATTGTATTTTGTTGTTTATATTACCGGCACTTCACTTATCTGTTCGTGATTGCTGTTTGTAAACTTGACATGCATTAGCCGTCATGCCATAATAAAAAAAGAAGAAACTTGACGTCAATCTGCCCTTGTCATTTCATATAAAGCATGACAAGGATAGATTATCCTCGTCTAATAGCAAAATAAATAGCAAAGTAAAGTGCCGGCATTTGAAAATTTATAATTATAAACGCTTGCGATATAAAAAATGTCACTCGAGCCGTTGCCTACCCTGGCCCAATTCCCTACCTCGTGGAGCTATGGGACCTTAGTCACCGACAGAAACACAACACTACTAAAATTCGAGCGGCAAATCCGCTATGCCTTACATCTCTTAAGGTATCCCTTTCCCATAAAATCTACAGGTTTAAGTGACTTTAATTACTCCATGCAAAAAGCAGGTCTTACTACGAGTATGTTCAAGTCATGGTATCGAATAAGTGGAGCGCGCTCTTACTCACACAACCGCTTACAAAATACAAGAGTGATGAACTGCCCCACGCGAGAAGTAATTAGTCGGAGTAACTCTTACAACATAGGTACTCAAGTCAGGTAACCACAACATTTCCAACGCGTACAAAGAAAGTACAATGGGCAAAACGCACCCAGCTCCGCCAACAATGTAATTAGTATGAATTGATAGATCTTTGAAAAACTAACCTTTTTTATTATGACACCGTAAAAAAATATCCCGGTAGTCAAAAGATATACCTAGTTTTAACGGGTTAATGCACGAAACTTTGTTTATTTATTGACGTTTCGCATCCTTTTCAGGTCTGCTTCGTCAGAATACTGATTTTTTATTTAATTTTGTCGAGCTACCTTCGAAAGTCAGTATTTTGACGAAGCAGACCTGAAAAGGCTGCGAAACGTCAATAAATAAATAAAGTTTCGTGCATTAACCCGTTAAAACTAGTTTTATTTAATGAGTGATGTGCGTGCAAAACCTAAGAAACAAATATAATATCCTGGTCAAAAGATATGACACATGGGAATATTTAAGTAACTAAATAAATAAATTTTATAGTAGCTTCATTTTATATTATTAGTAACCATAATAATATGCCATATCGTACTATACAAACAGATAAAGCGCACTTGCACTTACTGAGCCACCACAAAACGGTTTACGGGGGTTGAAGGACTTGCAGTTGCAAATAGTCGACTTGTCTTACTTCGTTGTGATTGAAGCGCCCCTGTCACGTGATTAATTTTTATCTAACACGCTTTGGACATTGGAACACGATTATCGGTTTTGTGAATTAGTATGGATAAACTGGAATCGTGTTTTCTCTGAAGCGTGGACAAGTTTGTGCAATTTGTGGTCGATCCATTTCACATAGAAGACAATTTACTATAACGAACAGACTGTTTGAAAAAAAACCCCAACCCATGAGGGGACTTTTGGCTTTACTTTAGCGTGGCAGTATAACACAAGGGGGCACCCTTGCACCTTGTGAAGTACTCCCATAATACCTGAGCCGTCTATGTACAGTCGAACTAACTAAATTAATTCCCTTGTTTCATTAATGTTCGTTTGTTATAGTACTTCTGCTTATTTAACTTAAAATAACTAAAGACCCCCGGGATGGAATTTGATGCGCTTTGGCATAGATGATCATGACTATAATACCTTTGAAATGTAGTTTAAGCCGTGGCGGACGTGGGTCCGCGTCCATATATTTTTGCCCAATGTCCTTTGGTGAATCATTTCTTTGTCTACACTAATGGGTCCCGACTGTTATCACTATCCGTAAATGGAATGCTCTGCCCGCTCTCGTGTTCCCTACATCTTACAACATGGGAACATTTAAAAGAGACGTGAAGAAGCAACATGCAGGCCGGCAGGGTGAGGATGGCTGGTGTGGCAGGTAGAACTGCTGTATCAGCTATCTTCGCGTCTGGACTTCACCAACACTTAACATCAGGTGGGGTGGAGTCATTTGTCGGACCTATCTATGAAAAACAAAAAACAATACAATCCGGCCAATGGCAGAAAGAGTAGGATGAGCTCGATCCCCCACAAATGCTGTCGCCCGCGTTTCTCCCCTCTGCTCCTAGGAGAAGGCGCGAGGAGACGCGGGCGACCGGGAGGGGGGAGAGGGACGGGAAGAACTACGCTTCACCTCCTGTTCCCCCCTCCCAGGAACGGCGGCCCCCCTCTAGTAGTTTTGTCCAACAGAGGGGGGGCAGCACGCCCTAAAAGCCCTTCCGCAGCGGATGGGGGGCGGTACGGTGGGCACTAGGCCGCGCACCCAGCCCCCACGGTCGGGCCTACCTGCGCACGTCTGCGGGGTCCCCGTAATACCTCGGGAGACCCCTGCCGTGGAGCCCCGGTGAGGCCGGGAAGCTGCTGGGTGCGGAGCCGTGGTAGAGTCCCTAACGGGGACCCCGCGGCTTCGCATTAAGCAGGGTAGAAGGCATTCGCAGAACTTTTTTAGCGGATATTAGGTGGTCAGCCACTGGGGGGTCCGTAAGACTTGCGGGAGCCAGGTGTGAGGTCCGTTCGGCGGTGTGTCTCTTAAAGGCGCTGTAGTCTGTAAAAAGATTTTTTTCCTGCGTTATAAAAAAAGGAGGAGCTCGATGGCGTAAAGGTTAGCGCATTCAGCCTGCGATCACGAAAGTTAAACAATTTTGGCTATGGTCGGTCATTGGATGGGTGACTAAAAACCACCTTGTCAAAGCATTGACAGGGTTGCAAGTATTGGTTACTTGGGAGTGACTTTGGATCACAATCTCTCATTTAAGAAGCACTTAAAAACCACTTCCTCTCGCATTAGACAGTAGATCTATGTGATGAAGTTGCACAGGAATTCTGCTGACACAACGACTCTTCGGTTAGTCCAACGATTCCAACGGGTATTTCTATGTGATATATATTATGAATCATGTGTTGACGATACTTCTATTGAAAAGCTTTATTTAAAGTTGATTACGTAAGGAAGAATATCAGACTATTTAAGAAGATTTGAATGACAAAACGGCGTGGTCATGATTTCTCCATTGTTTTTGCTTTGTAATTTTTGCAGTGTCCTACAGATAAATGACTTTAATTTTAAGTAAATATGTTGTGGTTGATATAGGTGGTTATGGGTAGTCATGCTCTCTTAAAAGTCTCTTCGGTGGTGTCGTGTGAGGCGGGTCGTTACGTTCCCTAAAATATGGTTGAGCGAATCGATGGCTTCATGCTCGTGAACGGGTGCTGCCAGCGGAGATGAGTCTGCCCTAACTACTTTGATATTTAAGATGTAAATGTTTAATTACCCTATTATAAATGACTCTGTTTGTATTTATACTGTATGACACAGCAATTAAAATGCAGGTGAACAATTAATGTATAATTTCACATTATGTAATAAAGTTTCTTGCCGGTTCTTCTCAGTATAAGGTCTCCCGCCGTAAAACGAACCGATGGCGTAGCTTCTAGACATTGATATGTGCTTGTAACAGCCTAAACTGAATAAATGATTTTGATTATGATTATTATGATAAGTGTACACAAGCTTGGGAGAATTACTTCTCAGTTATTGCATTCTTGTGGGAGGCTCACGGTTGTTGAACAAACAACTTTCCCGCGTCGCCTGCCAAAATTTATGTTGCCGTATATCTAGATAATAAGGTAACAAAACGTTGTAACATCAGAGCACTCACCACGGAACAGGCAAAGCGCACTGTCACCTCGAGATTATTGTCCATGACTTGCATGCAAACCGAAAACCTGGTTAAACGACTGGAAAACATAACCCGAAGTCCTTATCTCGCACCGCCCTTTTTTTATTACGCAGGCAAAACCCCTATTTACCGACCTCACACTAAGCCTCTCGCAAGTCTCACGGGGGTAAAACTGAGAAGCCGTTAAGCAGTCCGCGCGGTTTACGAGCGCCTACTACGGCATAATATCCGCTAAAAACCCAGCGAATACCCTCCAAGCTGTTAAGTGTGGAACCGCGGGATCCGCGAGTGTCAACCTACAGCCTCCCGGGTCTCTCACCGTCCTACATACATAGAGACAAGCACACACGCACACACACACACACTCAATCCCACACTTTATTACTTTATAACGTAGTTCCTAAGATAATTTTCTGTATTCTGTAATTTTACTTTTTCATCTGTTGCAATCTTGTTTACATTCATTGGGTGCCCACGATGCAGGACCTCCTAGTGTGGGACCCATGGTAATAAGCTGACTATACGACGTAATTTTAATAAATATATTTGTATTTGCCCTGCGGTCAACTGAAGGAAGATCAATCATTCATCTTAGACTACCACAGTGAAATAACACTATCTTTTCGTTGTGTTGCAAGCTTACAGGGCTCAACGACACGTAAGGAATCGGCAGAGGCATAGGCATACTCTAGTATCGCGAGCGTCTTTGGGTATGGTTGGGTACCTACCAGCGTTGCCAGACGTCGATGACGATGTAGATTGGACGTCCAGATTTTTAAATAAAAATTTAATGTCCCGCGCGGGACAGACTCAATCCCGCTTTTCGGGAATAACTGGACCGTGCGTGAAACGTACTGAGAAAGCGCGGGCGGGTGGCACAGACAAGTGTGGACTGGCCACCTGCCCGGCACGTATGATGAACTCTCAAACAAAGACTCGACTTTTTAACGATAGGGTAAATCTGGTTTAAAATATCATATTTTTATTAAAATACATTTTCTATGGATATTTTTGAATACTCAATGTTTTATTGCTTTCCATAAGTTATACGTCCAGTTATACATCATATTCCATAAGTTATATATTTTTACTAGGTACCTATCTATTGTCACGTAAACGTAATTTGAACTTAAATAAAAAGATAAATATTCAAAAACTATTGATTATGTACGTTTTTTTTACTATCCACGAAAGAAAACAGCTTTTTTCACTCAATAAGTTCCTAAATTCCGACTTGGCAAAAAAAAATCTGGCAACTCTGATACCTACTTACCCTTTTCATCAGGCTGGCCACATGTTTACTTGTGCTCGTCTTTATTATTACACCCTTCATACATAAAAAAACGACGGGTTGCACTCCGGGAGTGCTGGCAGAAGTGAAAACTTGAATATTAACGTTGTGCATTTTTGATATTTTGGAATGGTTAGGAAATAATTTAGCACGAATTGCTTTAATTATCAGTATAAAAGTACTATCATTTATGTGGTAGAATACAATATTTAGTTATTGCGCTATCGTACACAAACATGACAATTTATATTACATTAAAAAGTTTATCTCTCAGAAAAATCAACTTACAAGAATCACATTTAAGCGCACCTAGCGACGTCTTTTTTAAAAAATGATTTTTCTTCGCAATAAAGCTGCCACCTGGACGTCCTAGATAGACACTTATTACGATAATACGTAAAATAAAATATAACTATGTTTCGTCTATTATATTGAAAGTCAACAACCTTTCCAATTTTATTGTTTTCATCTTACGAATTTTCGATTAGGTCTCGTGTCCTGACGCGATCAGGCCACGTGTCCTGAAGTGAGTTTAACATTTTTTACCCATTACAAAAAAGTGTACAACGCCGCTAAAGAAGTTTACACTTCAAAAACAGGATCAGTGCGATTCAGACTCGCCAACCGAGAGTTCCGTACAAATTTGTAGGTACGCAACATCCGTTTATGTTATCTTTTTATTACGTTAACTTAGAACTTTGATTTTTTCATAGCTTCAAGGGACCGTATAACTCAGTACATGGTTAAAATTTTAACTCGATACCTCCACGCGTTCCCGAGATAAATAAAGGGACAGAGAGATGGACAACAAAATGGTCCTAGGCGTTCTGTTATTTCAATTTGAGGTGTCGAATTGATGTGGAACCCTAAACACATGCTCTTTACACACAAGATCACATCTATGCGACCATATTTTCATTATCTGAAATTTGAGTGCAATTAACAACATCGATGGTGGCATGGCATATTTCATACACGTGGTGCCTAGTCGTACACATACAATTAGCCAGCTGGAGTTAACGAGACTTTTATCTGTCCATGTCAAAACGTTGTCGCCGATTGCCGATTGTTTATTGCAACAGACAATCGAGTAACACATGGCATTCACAATTTTTTGATGCAAGTATTTTACCTTGAAATGTACAGCTCCTTGTTTATTTTTTGTTATCTGAACTGAACTAACTAATGTCATATATCTCTCAGAAAAATACATACCTATCCTATATTTTTTTTCGTAGGGAATTAAAATAAGCGCAATTTTTATACTCAACGAAACCTCGCTTCGCTTCGGTATTTTATCCCCTTGGGGGTAGAATTGATCAAAATCCTTTCTTAGCGGATGCCTACGTCATAACATACCTCCGTCCAGTGGTTTGGGCTGTGCGTTGATAGATCACTATGTCAGTCAGTCACCTTTGAGTTTTATATAGATTCTTGGCTTGAGGTATTTATATTTTTTTAACAGTCTCAGTCAGGTGTCACCTCATGACCTCACCGATCTTGATGCTCAACTTTTTTATCGAACTCAAGAGACGAGTGTATATTAGCAAAATGTATTCTCCTTCCTTGCTTGTTTGGCGCCGAGACCAGGGTTATTAGTAGTACAATACGCCCTGACTTTATACAAAAATGAACTCGGCAATCAGGATATTGACATCACTAAAATGAAGAACGCCTGGATGCGCGTAGCAAGAAACTAGGTCACATGGAGAACATAATGATGCCTATGCTCGAAAATGGTGGAACAAAACCTAGGGCTTATGAAAGAACATCACATTTATATTTGCATTTAAAAAAAAATTGTCAGACGTGCATGCGGCCAGCCTATAGACGCTTGCAATACCAGAGTATCTCTGGTGCCATATCTATTCTACCCCGCAGAACCCAATAGGGTGTTACTTTAGTAGAGTGTAGTGTACTTTGCCGAACGGGCGGCGCCGGCGCTCCGATTAGGGAGAAAAACCGCTTCGCCCTACCTCTCTTAAATTAATAAATACCTATATAGATGTCAATTACATTATTATCGATGACGTAAATTCATCAACATTTTACTCTGTGGGCATAAAAAAACTTACAGACAGAGATATCCAAACTAAATGAATTTGTCTCACAGTCCAAGATTCTTCCGGAAACGGTTCTTTATCGGCTGCGTCGCTGGCTGCACGACTCTAAATTGGATAAGTGAATATTGACTTTGATACGTACACTTATAGAGAATTATTACACTCATTCATAATCATATTTGTGACGTGGCAGCAAACTGTAAATACTATGCAATGCGTTCGTAATCAGAGCGGGCGCGTTGGACAGAGCTGGTACCGCCAGCCACCGCTGTTATCGCCCCACTATTGTACGGTACAGCGTCGCGGCTTTAAGAAGAAAAAATAAACAAGTTAACAGCAATCATTCACTTAGAAAGTTAGTTCACATGGAGATGCCCGTATCGGAACTCCTATAGTGTACGTCTCCAGATTGGTACCTACCTAATAGATCGTTCTCTAGTTCTGTAGGCTCAATATTACATGCATGTAAACTGTTTTATTTTTATATGAACCGATAAGACTGATGACGTGACTCATTTTTTATTAGTTTACTACTTACTTAATTTCCATCTCATTAAGTAATTACCTGTATTAGTTTAAAATTAAATTACCGCTACAAGCAAATTAATAATTTGAATATTCCGGTTTCCGAACCTTTGAAAAATCAGTTTGAAAGCATCAACTTCAAATCTTCAAAACATTATGTTACAAATCAGAACGTCAAAATATTATTAATTACTTAACAATAAATGTGGAGGACGATGTAATCCGACGCCGGGTGGACGGAATGCCAGATGCCGGTGGTGCCAGCCACTGCCGCAGCCAGTGAGCGACGGCTAGACGCCACGCCGCGTGCGCAACCCAACACCGAACAGAACACACGTCACTGAAACAAACGACAATCGAACAACGATATTAAATACGATCGAATCCAAAGTCATAGGTCAAGCGTTATAGCCTGCGCAGGCGAGGGACTTTTTGTCCGCTTAGATCGCTTACAACTGCATCGAGTATTCGAGTAACGCACTCAAGGTATAAAAAAGCGGCCAAGTGCGAGTCGGAATCACCCATAAAGGGTTCCGTAGCAGCAAGTAACATAATATAAAACCTGTCCCCTGCGCGCTCTGCACGCGCTACCGATCAAGCCACGCCCCACGCGAATTATAATTATTATTTACTTAGGCATCTATTACAGATTTATTATTAAATAATAATGGTTCACGGTTTATGCATAACGTTTATGTTTATGAAATTAAATGTTTTTATTTTATATATTTAAGTTGATTGAATGAAAGGTAAATAGCGATTTACGATTTATGACGTATTAAAAAAACCGGCCAAGTGCGAGTCGGACTCGCGCGCCGAGGGTTCTGTACAAACCTGAATTTTCAAAAATATTTATTATTATATGATGTTACTAAAAATTTATGGCTTTCGCATTTTTTTCTTTATCTGTACTATAATACTTTAATTCGTACCAAATTTCAAGATTCGAAGTTGACGGGAAGTACCCTGTAGGTTTTGATTCCCCACACACACATTTTACCACTTTGGTCTGTGTCTCTCGCGTAAACTATTCCGTTTAGAAAAAAAAATATTAGAAACCTCAATATAATTTTCGAACTATCCATAGACCCCACACGTATGGGTTTGATGAAAAAATAATTTTTGAGTTTCTGTTCTAGGTATGGAGAACCCCCAAAATTTGTTGATTTTCTGTGTGAAATGCGGTTCACAGAATACATCTACATATTTACCAAGTTTTAACAGTATAGTTTTTATAGTTTCGTAAAAAAGTGGCTGTGACATACGGACGGACATGACGAATCTATATGGGTTCCGTTTTTTGCCATTTGGTTACGGAACCCTAAAAATCCCGCGTACAAAAAGTCCCCTGAACAACCGAGAACACTAACCGCCTTAATACAAAACGTAGACTAAAGTTAAACCTGGATTTAGTCCAGGTATAACTTTAGTCAACTTTGCACGCTCGATCCGATCCAAAAAGATAGACCCAGTATTCTTTTATAAACTGTTTTCTCTTTAAACTTCACGTTAATTACATTACAACACAACGTAATCTGAGTATATTAACTTCCACAGCATGCGCTTTTCTAAATTTTCGGGGGACAATGTTCGCAAAGCGTGTGCGTTGAGTCCTCCGTGGACAAATGTCCCTCGTGTGCGCAGGCTATAATAGTGTTTGATATCCATCTTACGGGCAGAAGCAGAGATTTTCTTTATTTACTGGCTAAAAAGCCCTCATGAGGTAAGGTTTTTTGTAAGGGATTTTGAGAAGGCTTCATCGGGAGTGATTTTTTATGCCTCAATATTTTTTAAACATCTCGGGGTATCCCCCATGACATGACGAAATAAAAAGTTAGCATCCCCACATTAGGAACTACTATCCTAAATAAATAGTTTTCAAAATTATATTTTTAATACCACTTAGTCAGCGTGACCGTGCCCTTATACGAAGTCTCTGAGCTAAGCTAAACCCTTAAAACATAGACAGACATTATTCAGTATTTGTATAATACTATACTTGCTACTTTTTACCACGGCCTAGGATGTAAATTAGACTGTGCCCTTTGACTGAAGATTGCAAGACGAACTTAAATTAAAAAACCACGATGCAAGTTAAACTTTTCAATCATAATAAAAAGAACTCTTTCCTCAGCTGGGATTCGAACCCGGGCCGCACGCGTAGCAGACGAGCTTTCTACCACTGAACCAGCGATACTTGTTGATATGGTCTGATTTTTTTAAAAACAATTAAAAATGTAATGCGATATTATAAAGATGAACTAAAATATTCGTGGCGATGTAATAAAAGTTTCACTTTAATAATACAAGAAAATTATCAACAGTATTATCAGCAGGGGATGTGTGATTGGATTGGTAACTGCAAAAATTACCAGTTCCGCTTAAACGGACTTTGGTCCTGTTTTGTTTCCTTCCGTTCACTCGGCACCAAATAAGTACTCAAAAGTACCTAGCGAATCTGGGTTTTTTATACGCAACAAAACGAAAATATTATTACGCCATGCAATTCTGATAATTGATTAAAATAATCCATTTGTTATTTATAGTTTAACGGAAGTGTTTATATATACTCAGTTCTCAGGAAGATTTTATCTACGATGCTGTACTGGGTATGAATAAAACTTAGAATTCGTCAGTTATGTGTTAAGTATGACAGAAGAAAATAAAGTAAAATAATCTCCAAATCTTTCTATCAGGTAATAGAATTATAACTTGGTTAATTAACTAGACTAGAAGAATGTAAGCAATTATATTATCGCTTTAAACCAGCGTTAGCGATGGTACCACTAGAGTCACGTAATATTCGTAGCATGTCCTTAATCTAATGCATTTCATCTTTGTTGCTATGCTGGGATATGACATAAAACATAAAAACATATTTATGTACATATTTAAAAAATAACAAAGCTAATTTAATTTTTATCGTTAATGTCTGAGAATGGGCCTAGGTAAAAGGTTAGCCAATGATTATAGCGGTAGGGTAAGGTAGGTCATACAAACAACCGATAGATATCACGAAAGAAAGTGAATGATCCGTGTTTATGTTCAATAAACAGCTATGTTAATTAATATATCCACTTTTATCTCTGTATACAATAAATGTGTAATACAAAAACAATGTAAAACGCAAACAGCTCTCTTAATAATATTAATGATTTCCTTTAGTCTCTGCTTTGCTTTCATTATTTTATAATGGTCATTGCATTAGGTTAATAGTCCCATCTACTTTTATAATCGAAAAATAGTCTGTCTTACTCTTGACATGATAATCCTTCAAATTAAATGTATTTTAGAATAAAAAACATGTTTGATTGTATTATAGCAATGGTTATAATCCGGCGATGGCTTCTAATGGGAAGTTATTGAATAAGAGTAACTTTTTGTGTTTCTTTTGGTGAATAAGGTTCGAAGGTCTCCACGAGGAGGGGATTGGGTTTAAGCTAGCAAGCTGAGGATGGCTGGTGTTATGTATGTATATACATATGTAGGTGGCTGCGACCACTGTCGTGTCTCTCAAATAAAGCAGTGCGTAACTAGCATCGGCTCGTTTCACTTGTGCACAACCCAGTCCTTATATCTAACAGCTGCAGAGCATGTTTTTTGCGTCTATCATATCTTTCATCTATCTGTATGAAGATTACGAAATCATCTATACTTACTTATATTCTAAAGAGTTAAAGTTTGTGAGGTTACAGGGGTAATCTCTGAATCTTCTGAACTGATTTTGAATATTATGTAACAATAGAAAGACAGTTCATATTTGCGAGTGTCATAGGCTAGTAACTCGAAAAAATGAAAGACTAACGCGGACGAAGTCGCGAACAGGCACTAGTAAATAATATCTTCGCAACTGGACTCTGCTTAACTTAACACGATGATGGTGGTGATGAACGGAGAGGTAATTTTTTACGCCTTGTATCGTATAAAAAACCGGCCAAGTGCGAGTCGAGTTCGCGCACGAAGGGTTCCATATCAAAAACTTGTCTTTTGTTATAGCGGCAACAGGAATACATCATCTGTGAAAATTTCAACTATCTAGCTATCACGGTTCATGAGATACAGCCTGGTGACAGACAGACGGACGGAGAGCGGAGTCTGAGTAATATTCCTTTGGGTATGGATTTTCTTTTTTGCCTGGGAAATGCTTTATTTAAGCATCCTTTAACCACCGAGGGAGCGAGAAAAAGGTATCTGGGAATCTTCCCTGTTCAGCCAGCTCTGAGTCTCGATGAAATGAGCAGGGTCCTATTTAACGCCCTGAACAGGACCAGAAAAACCAGACAATACTCCTGCACCGGTCACCCGGGAGTACGGAACCCTAAAAATAGTAATGAATCTAATAACAAAGTTGTGAATGGTGATTGTTGTTTAGGATTGATTGTAGACATGGACATGTGCGGATTCAGCGATAATCGCCGTTCGCCGATGGTCGTTATCGCGCGGCGTCCGACGGCAGCGGCGCGCATTCACTCCGGCCACGGGACGCGCCGCACGCTGACACCTCATCCCGACCAGATAAACGACCACTCCATTGTACTATCTTTTATTGTTCCGCCACTTAATATAATAACGTTGCAGCCAAACTGGCTTGTTTGACCTTTGTCGAATCTTGTAAGTATACACGGTACTTTTTTTTATACAAGAACTTTTTAATAATACTGACTTTTCTTATATTAAACAATACTATTCCGTTTTTTCAGCATCAACATGTTTTCTGAAAGCAGCGGTCCTCTTATAGAGGATGCACTATTGAACGACCGACTTCTGTACGAATATTCGCCGGCAGAGAGCCTTGTCAACTTCGAACTGCCGCAATCTATCAACACGGAAACCTTCGACTGGCAGCTCAGTGACTTAGATTTACAATGTGACACTTTTGTGAGTGATATTAGCGACATAAACAAGGACGATTTCAATTTATCGAATTGTTCTCCTGGATTCGATTTCACAGACTTGGACAACAGCATCATAGACGAATACTTACTGGAAGCTTTGAGCAGCGACTTATCAAATGATACTCCACATTCGAGCTCGGAGTCGACTGACTCGAATGATCCCTCGTACGTGCTGGAAGCCCACGACTACGTCGCATCATCAGATAGATACTGGGACCGCGGAGAACGATTGGCCGAAGACATAGAGAAGGCGAACTTGAAGGTGCGATCGTGGGGAGAGCCGAAGTTTCTGCCGGAGCTGGGAGCATTCCGTTGTCCAGTAGAGGAGTGTGGAAAACTGTACGCCAAGGCGTCGCACGTTCGAGCGCATTTACGACGGCACAGTGGCGAGAAGCCCTACCGCTGTACATGGGGAGACTGTTCGTGGCGGTTTGCGAGATCGGATGAGCTGGCCCGACATAGACGCAGCCACTCAGGCGATAAGCCGTATGCATGCAGAGAGTGTGGAAAGCGTTTCGCGCGCTCGGATCATCTGGCTAAGCACGGACGCGTGCACGCGCGCAGAGCAGCCGCTGCTCGCCGAGTTGCGGGGGCAGCCCCCGCCGCAATACATACTCATCGGTCAAAGAGACTTTTGTGATTACAAAAGACATATTAGTATCTTAGTGCATTAATTATCTAGGTACCTCAACGTAAGACTGTTTTGTGACTTAAAGTAAATAAGGTTTTCATAATGCGACGTCCAAGTTTGCCTAATGAAGTGCAGTTATTAAAGAGGTCCTAATCTTCAAACTTATAATCTGTTCTCAACATTTTCTTGACATATTATTTTCAATCTTATGATTTTCGGCACAAAACATAGATGTGTGTTCATTGATTATCGAGCTATCAACTTTCTTGAACTTATAAAATCTCAGAGCTATAATATAACTGAGTAAAGATTTCTCTCAGATTTCAATTTACGATTCTTAAAAAAACTTCGAAAAGCTGTTTGCAGACCTCTTTCAAGTGCGGTTTTGCGCGCGCATTTGGGTAGGAATATCTTAAAATTTTAAGCTTATTTTTATAAAACGAATAGATCTGTTCAATGAATAATAAAGACATATAAGTAATGTTATTTATTAATTACCTAAAAAGACATTTATTTCATTTTCCCTATAAAGAACATCGACAAAATTTGCCCAAACATGCACAAATGAATGTCCTTCACTACTATTTTTTTACTTTATTATTTATAAATTAATCATTGTAAACGGACATACTGTGTTAAAAAATTTGATGATTTTTTCATCGTGTACCCCATCGTGTGGGATATATTTGAATAGGTCCTTTAAAATTACTTAGGAGTTTCTTAGACTATTTTTCGATTTAGGTATCCGTTTGCGAAATATTGAACTTTCGGTTAAGTTAGATTTGCATAAGTTGAAGAGTAATAGTCGTTCAACTTTGGTTAAAGAAAAAATCTTACCTATTGAAAATTGCTTAGAAAAAAAACATTAATAGTGACAATAAACCCTTGCATTAAAAAACAAAATTAAAAAAAAAACTATTTAAAATTTACTTTTTTTATTTTATGATATGAAAAATAAAGACTCTTGCTTAAATATACAAAATTCTTTGTTAATGAAGTCTATATGCAAACTCTCCATGAGCACGTATAGTTTTTGAGAAAAATAAAATAGTAAAAAATATTGCTTTTCTATATACTTATTAAATACTTTATATTCCTTTTTTGTGATAAGGCGAAAAAACAAAGTACTTAAATACAGCGGTTTTTTTTAATGTCAAGATCGAGAGCCATCGAGAATATCTTTGCTGGCCAACAATTTTTAGTTATTGGAATGAATAGGTCTTTAAAGTTTTTTACCAAAATATTTTTATTATACACTTGACTTCCTCAGTCATTACCAGCCCCTCCGCCCTTGCGTAACAAAGGCTCACAGGCACACACGCTTCCCTCCGCAGTTTTGACTTGTTGCAGCCTCAGCCGCTACGGGTCTCGAGTGCCTGTAGCTTTGTTACAATGGGCGGGGACTGCTTCCCTCCGTACCTCCGGACTCTGAAAAACAATCTAGGGGTAGGGCAGACCAAGACCGATGGCGTTTCGGGTGTTGACAACCTTATAATATAGTAGGAAAATGAATAGAAAATATTATTTATTTCCTAGTCACTAGGGGCCGTTCAAGTATTACGTAAGCACTATAGTGGGGCAGGGGGTCTTCGCTTTGCTTATTTTTGATGACATGGGGGGGTGGGGGGTCGAGATAGTCTTTACGTCAGCATCATGGATTCGGGTGCCATGAAATAATAAAAAAACAGAATACTTTAAAGGAAAAATGCATAAAGGTACAATGTTTACGTAAGCATGGGGGGGGGGGTAAGAGCTTTGCTTACTTTTGCTGACAAGGGGGAGGAGGGGGTAAATAATTGTAATAAATCTGCTGACGTAATACTTGAATGACCCCTATTATTATCATACACAATTAAAAGCTTTTAATAATACTCAATTAAAAGATTTTTGTGCGTAATTTATATTTAAAAAAAACAATGTAAATTTTCAAAATGGTGTTACCTATCTATACAGGCTGTGACAAAAGTCCGAAATAAAACTTTAGGGTTTGGTTGTGTTCCTTGTATAGAATTACCTACAAAAGTTTGACGCCTTTCAGACGACTTTTATTTTCTAATTAAATTAATAAAAATATCGTTTTACACCTGCCTATGACAACCCTATAAATGCGTACGATTACTACTACCTAAACAGACCCCCCCCCTCTCCCCCAGGCGCCCCTGCGCTCCGCTCAGATACCTACAAATTTTTATTTCGGAATACATGCCTACAAATTTTATTTCGGAATTCTGTAACACCTTGTATATATATAAATGTTATGTTGGTTTGTGTACGCTTCAAAAAGTCAAAAAGTTCTGCACCGATTGAGTTGAAATTTTAACATGATACAAAATCCGCATCAAGGATTGTTTTTATCTATTTTTTGCATCAGTCACATATCTGGGACCGCGAGAAAACAGTTTTTTTAACGATCAGCTGTGTACCATTTGCCGCGCCATCTGCCAGAAGCCTAGAAGCGAGGAAAACACTCGCTGACAACCGCAATAGTAATGACGCAGTCACATGAGAAACAATTTCGTACCCAATTACATTGTTTATTTACAAAAAAAAATTCATCTGATTCTGATTATTATACAATCTGAATTAAATATTCACTTAAATCAAGAATTTTTGGTGTGATAGTGTTGTGATCGAACTGCGCCTTTCACCAAATCGTAAGTAGAGGTTATATTTTATATCAAAGATGGACTTTATGGATAGATTATTTTTTTGCAATTATTATTTATTTAATATTAATTAATTAAATAAATAAGTAAAATATTAGTTAAATAATTAATCAATAACAAAACATATTTATTATTAAAGTGAATCTTTTTTAATAATCGTGTTCCCGAGTCGGCAAACCAGATAGTCTTTATATCTACGCAGACAGTGGAAAAACAAAAAATATTGTATATCCACAAGTATTGCAAAATTAAACTTATATGAAATGTATTCTTTGTTTTGTTTCTCATTTCTCAACCATTCAATCACAATGTGCCACTGCCAAGCGTGGCAGGGTACAGCTAGTTTATTATAAAAAGTAAAAAAAAACGACGGGTTGCACTCCGGGAGTGCCGGCAGAAGTGAAAACTTGAATATATAATATAAAATTAAATAATGGTGAGGGAATAATTTTGCACAGATTGCTTTAATTATCAGTATAAAAGTACTATCATTTATGTGGTATAATACAATATTATTTATTGCGCTATCGTACACAAACATGACAATTTATATTACATTAAAAAAGTTTATTTCTCAGAAAAATCAACTTACATGAATCACGTTTAAGCGCACTTAGCGACATCTATTGTAAAGAATTACATGAATCACATTTAAGCGCACCTAGCGACATCTATTGTAAAAAAAATGCATTTTCTTCGCAATAAAGCTACCACGTGGACGTCCTAGATAGAGACTAATAATTATAATACGATAAAATAAAATATTACTATGTTTCGTCCAATATTTTGAAAGTCAACAACCTTTCCAATTTTATTGTGTGTCATGATGCGATCAGCCCACGTGTTTAACCTGACGCGTAGAGATGTAACGACTCGACTTTTCAAACCGGTTCAAACCGGTTTGAGCATGGACCGAGTTGAATCGGTTAACGTCTTCGTAAACCGGTTCTACCGTGGCATTCGTTCGTATCGCGCTGCGCGCATGCGCGCCTGTCAATTCTTGTTTATGCCGCCATCCACAAATCGCGTGCGGCTCCTGACGTGCTTTACCGACCCTAATAAAACTTGACCGACCAATACGAACCGACTTACAGCAGCGGATATGGTTAGCGCGCATCGTCAATTAAAATACAACAGCCATAACCGACTTACCGACCGAAACGAAATGAAACGGACTCTGGTAGATTTGACTGACTTGACGGTATAATTTTGTTTTCATTATTATGTAATATGCGACGTAATTGCCCAGCTTAAAAAAATAGCACCTGTTGTTTCGTAAGTTTCATTCGTCAACTCGTCAAACGGTTCAAACCGGTTCAAACCGCGGTTTACTGAAAATTTGGTGGTTCGGTTCGGAAACCGATTTGCATGTATTACTAACCGAACAAATCCGGTTTGTCAAAATTCAAGACCGTAACATCACTACTGACGCGAGTTTAACATATTTTACCCATACAAAAAAAAGTGTACAACTCCGCTAAAGAAGTTTTCACTTCAAAAATGCCTTTTTATTCGAAATAAAGATGCCACCTGGACGTCCTAGATAGAGACTTATTATTATAATATGATAAAATAGAATATTACTATGTTTCGTCCAATATATTGAAAGTCACCAACATTTCCAATTTTACTGTTTTCGGCAGATCCGAATCAATTGATGTCGTTGTTGATTTTTAAAGATGATTTATATTTTGTTTTTAATGAATGAGAACTTGATTAAGATTATTTGACTTATTTAATATAACTTAATAATACACAGTCAGTACATAAGTATTGTCACACAGTAAAAACTTTTCTTTTAGAATGCTGGCCACAAAAAAGTTTATTGAATTCGAATTTAGAATTGTTCATGGAAATAAAAATGTATGCTTTTTAGAATTTTACTCATTTTTGCGGTTACGCGCCAATTCAAATTTTTGACATACTGAAAAATTTTAATATAACCAAAAGATTCGTTTATCGTACTATCAAACGATACAATGAAGACTCTAGTGTAGATGACAGGTCAAGAAGTGGTCGCCCTCGGTCTATTAGGACTCCAGCAGTGATATGAGCTGTGAAGACGCGAATTCAAAGAAATCCCAAACGTAAGCAGAAATTGTTGGCCCTTCAGATGGGGTTAAGCAGAACCACGGTGAAAAGGGTGTTAAATGAAGACTTAGGGCTTCGGGCATATCGAAGAAAAATAGGACATCGTTTGAATGCTCGTCTAATGGACCTGAGACTGAAGAGATGCCGCGCTTTGTTGAAGCGGTACGCGGGAAAAAAATATCGGGAAATTCTTTTTACCGTAGAAGAGTATATGTAAGAAAATGATAAGATGTACGCACACAGTAGTGAAGA